TAATAATAGTAATAGTAGTAATAATAATAATAGTAGTAATAGTAGTAATAATAATAATAGTAGTAATAATAATAGTAGTAATAGTAGTAATAATAATAATAGTAGTAATAATAATAGTAGTAATAGTAGTAATAATAATAGTAGTAATAGTAATAATAATAATAGTAGTAATAATAATAGTAATAGTAGTAATAATAATAATAGTAGTAATAGTAGTAATAATAATAATAATAGTAGTAATAATAATAGTAGTAATAGTAGTAATAATAATAATAGTAGTAATAATAATAGTAGTAATAGTAGTAATAATAATAATAGTAGTAATAGTAATAGTAGTAATAGTAGTAATAATAATAATAGTAGTAATAATAATAGTAGTAATAGTAGTAGTAATAATAGTAGTAGTAATAGTAATAGTAGTAATAGTAGTAGTAATAGTAGTAGTAGTAGTAATAGTAGTAGTAATAGTAGTAGTAATAGTAGTAGTAGTAATAGTAGTAGTAATAATAGTAGTAGTAATAGTAGTAGTAATAATAATAGTAGTAGTAATAGTAGTAGTAATAGTAGTAGTAATAGTAGTAGTAATAGTAGTAGTAATAGTAGTAGTAGTAATAGTAGTAGTAATAATAGTAGTAGTAATAGTAGTAGTAATAATAGTAGTAGTAGTAATAGTAGTAGTAATAATAGTAGTAATAGTAATAGTAGTAGTAGTAGTAATAGTAATAATAGTAGTAGTAATAATAATAGTAGTAATAGTAGTAGTAGTAGTAATAATAGTAGTAATAATAATAGTAGTAATAGTAGTAGTAGTAATAATAGTAGTAATAATAATAGTAGTAATAGTAGTAGTAATAATAATAGTAGTAATAGTAGTAGTAGTAGTAATAGTAGTAGTAATAATAGTAGTAATAGTAGTAGTAGTAATAGTAGTAGTAGTAAGTAGTAATAGTAGTAGTAGTAATAGTAGTAGTAATAATAATAGTAGTAATAGTAGTAGTAATAATAGTAGTAGTAATAATAATAGTAGTAATAGTAGTAGTAATAATAATAATAGTAGTAATAATAATAGTAGTAATAATAATAGTAGTAATAATAGTAGTAATAGTAATAGTAGTAATAGTAGTAGTAATAATAATAGTAATAATAATAGTAGTAATAATAATAGTAGTAATAATAATAATAATAGTAATAATAATAGTAGTAATAATAATAATAATAATAATAATAACAATAATAATAACAACAACAACAACAACAACAACAACAACAACAACAACAACAACAACAATAATAATAATAATAATAATAATAATAATAATAATAATAATAATAATAATAATAATAATAATAATAATAATAATAATAATAATAACAACAACAACAACAACAACAACAACTAATCAAATAAAGATTTTGAAAAATTAACTCCACTAACTCAATGTTTAAAAAAAAAACTCCACTAACTCATTAGATTATTCATTTATATATGAGTCTTCATTTTTATGTTGTTGTTTTTCTTAAATGATTTAAACAATAGAATATGTAAGTTATAATTAGTTTTAGTTAGTCTATATAGTTTTTTATAAGAAAAACATACTTATAATTAGGTTTATTATAATTATTTCTTCTTATTATTAAGTCAATATCATTTATAACTCACAGTGACTTAATAATTGATTAATTTAAAAAATGACTTAAAGACCTAAAGATAGTCACTTTTATAACTCTACTAAGAGCATCTTTAGTTAGAGTATCTTAAGTGGGTAAACTAAGATATTTTTTGTGGGACCAAAGTGATTTGTAGGATTTAAAAAATTTATAGTTGATTTGGGTTGTTTTTACTTTAATTATAGTTGCTTATAAAAAACTAAATCTTAGCCCTATATTTTATATTTTTTAATTGTAATTATTTTTTTATTGAAGTTACCATTAATTTAATTATTTTAAATAAAATACATAATAAGACAAAAACTAACTTTGCATACGTTTGCTATATAATTGCCGGAAACTAAAACTTAGTGAATTAAATGTAATGTCATAGCCATTTCAATGCAAATTCTTTATAATCATCGTTAACTATAAAAATTTTAACTATTAAAAACCTGCATTAAATATGCTATAATCCACCAATCTACTAATTATAACTATTCATAAAACTTCCTCTTTATAGCATCACTAATCCACTAACTTATAGATACATATTCATAAAAGTTTCATGTGCAACTTCCATTGTACGTACATAACATTAACTATAAATAATTTACTGTTGCACGTCGAAACAATCCATTTTTTTCTTCTTTTTTTTTCTTCTCTCCCTAATATTTATTTCGAGAATTTATGAATTTATCTATCTTTTCATGGTTAAATATATTATGTATTTAATTAGCCAATTTGTAAGCGTTGATGTTTTCTGCTAGATTGTTTGTAATTATATATCAATGATGTAGATAGGAGTGTATTTGTGATGTATTTATAACCCACAATACAATTTTCATTAGCATCGTTGTTAATGTTGTACAAACTTATTGTTTTTTGTATTGTAAATAGAATACCACTAAACTTATGCCTCTAATTTTGTATTGTTTCTCTTAGAATCCCTACTACAAGAAAACATGGAATTAGCTAGGGGCGTGGGTTAGGGGGAAAACCCCTCACTAAAATAAATACATTTACTTGGGGTTAAACCCCTCGCAAAATGCAAAATAGGGAAGAAAAAAACTATAAACAGTTAGCTAGGGGATACCCCTCGCAAACAAGGAGGGAAAATTTTTTGAATTTTGAAATGTACTTTTACTAGGGTTCAACGCAGATTCAGGTGGGAAAGTTGAACATTTGTAAGGGGGAAACCCCTCACCTCGCCACGTTCACAATTTGCGAGGGGCATCCCCTCACCATTGGTCCTACTTTAGTCAAATCCCACTGAAAAAACATTTATTCCTCTGCAAAATTGTCTGCCACACGCCAACAGTGGCTTGGGGCATCCCCTCGCAAATGGCTTATTGATAGCCTGCGTGGAGGATCCCCTCGCAAATGACGCCACGTCATTGTGACCGTTGAGTCTGGCGTGGAGATGCCCCTCGCAAAAGACAATATTAAATGCTCAAATTAATTCACACTGTAACAGCCACATTCATCAAGTAACTTTTCTATCTTCTACGTTTTTCTCTTAAATGCAAATTGTTCTCTTTCTTCTCCATTTCATTTTCTAAGTTCCTATTCTTCTTCTTTTCTATTTCATTTTCTAAGTTTTTCTTCCCTATTCATCTTCTTCTCTTTCCATGTTCCAACATTTTTGTCCCACTTATTAATAAAAGTAAGTTATTTTATTTATTTATATTATTTTCGTATTTATAATTTATTTTATTGTTTAGATTTATTAATTAATTTTATTTATTTATTTATTGTGTTGCATGTACTGTAGATAATATATAAAGCTATCAAATTTTTATCAAGAGGAGCTACGAATTTGGAAGAGCATCAAAAGGTATACACTTCTACTTTTTCTTAAAATTTTAGATATATTTTTATTTCGAAAATTATATTGGTGTTGGTGGCTGTTGATAAAACAAATTTTAATATAACAGATTTATGTATATTTTTATGAAACAAGTTTATAAAACAAATTTTAATATAACAGATTTATGTATATTTTTATGAAACAGGTTTATAAAACAAATTTATGTATATTTTTATGAAACAGGTTTATAAAACAAATTTATGTATATTTTTATATTTTGTTATAAAACAGATTTTAATATTTATGAATATAACAGATATATATATTTAATTATAAATTAGATTTTAATATTTATATTATAAAATAAATTTTAATTAAAATATTAGTATTATATATATATATATATATATATATATATATATATATATATATATATATATATATATATATATATATATATATATATATATATATATATATATATATATATATATATATATATATATATATATATATATATATATATTATAAAACATATTTTTTAAAATATTAGAACAGATATTATAACAGATTTATATTTATTATTTATTATTTATTTAAAACAGATTTATATTATTAAAACAAAACAGATTTAAAACAGAATATTATAAACATATTATAAACATAAATTATTACAGATTTATATTATAAACAAATTTAAAACATATATTATAAACATATATTGTAAACATATTTATAAACATATTATAAACAGAATATTATAAAACAGATTTATATTATATATTATTTATTTAAAACAGATATTATAAACATATTATTTATTAAAGCAGAACATTTATTAAAACATATATTATAAACAGATTATTTATTTAAATTTATTATAAAAAGATTTTATTATAAATAGAATATTTATTTATTATAAACAGATTTTATTAAATCATATTATATATTATTTTTAAAAACAGAATATTTATTTATTTAAATTTGAAAACATATTATATACTTTTTTTTATAAAAGAATAGATTATATATATTAATATACACTTTTATTTAAAAAGTAGGAGTTAAATCATAAAAATATATAATTTGTAATATATTTAAGTAACATATACAAAATTTTTATATAAAGTATATAATTTGTAATATATACATTTTCTAAAATATTAATATAATTTGTAATACATTTTCTAAAATGTAATATATACATTTTCATAAAAGTATTTATTTTTTAAAATATTAATATAATTTAGTAATATATTTATAAGAAACATAATATTCTTGTAAAAAGTATGTAAATTTGTGAAAATATGTTATAATTTTATTTTAAAGTTGTAAAATATTTTTTACTTTAATAACATATTACATAATATTTGTAGAAACATATAAATCTATAATTTGTAAGTTAAAATGTTATAAAGCATGTAAATTTGTAGAAACATAATATGATATATTAGGTAGGTCAATAGTCACAAGTTTGTAGGTAGATCAATTCCCCTTTTCTTAAATATTAATTTAAACATGAACAACATTACACATGTGCAGTATGAAATATTACCAGTTCTATCGTAGTTGGATGTATGATAAAATATATCCAGGAAGACGTGGGCTTAAACCACATTTTAAAGAAGGAGTTGTTGCATTTCTTACTTATGTGTTTGCTCAAGAATGTTGTCGAAGAGAAGGAGGGGTAAGATGCCCGTGTTTAAAGTGTGGTTGCAGAAATATAATTAGTGACCCAAATAAAGTGAAACGACACTTGGAGAAAGATGGTTTTAGGCCAAATTATTGGGTGTGGTATTCTAATGGAGAAATACTGCCAGAGATGAATAGAGAGGCTTCAAGCAGTCAAACACATATTGGAGTTGAGATAGGCAGAGAGACATCAAGCAGTCAATCACATTTGCAAGACCATGAACAATTTAATCTCATAGATAATATGGTTGGTGATACATTAGAGTTGAATGTGACTTATGATGAACCTCAAGATTTTGATGCAGATGAGCTCCCGAACGAGGAAGCACAAAAGTTTTATCAACTGTTGAAAGAAATAAATATACCACTGTTTGAGGGGTCTTCTGACTCCATGTTATCCATGTGTGTGAGACTCTTGGCCGCGAAGTCAAATTAGAATGTTCCTGATCAGTGTTTAGAATTATTTGCAAAAATGATGTTGGATGTGACTCTTGTGAAAGAAAACATGCCTACAAGTTATTATGATGCCAAGAGAATGGTGTCGAAGTTAGGACTAATTAAAAGTGAAAAATATTGATTGTTGCATTGGAGGTTGTATGTTGTTTTATGATAACGAGTTTGGTACAAATGATGGGGGATTGGAGGAATGTAAGTTTTGTCAGAGTCTGAGGTATTTAGCTCACAGTAAAGGTGTTGATCGACAACAAAAACGAGTTGCAGTGAAGTTCATGTTCTATCTGCCAATAATTCCTAGATTGCAAAGGATGTTTGCGTCAATTCATAGTGCAAGCCAAATGACATGGACTCATACAAATTCCAATAGTTCAGGCATGATGCGACATCCATCTGATGGCGAGGCATGGAAACACTTTGATAGAGTACATACAGATTTTACAGCAGAACCTAGAAATGTCAGGCTCAGGTTATGCTCAGATGGTTTTACTCCTTATATCCAATCGTCAGCAATTGCCTATTCTTGTTGGCCAGTTATTGTTACCCCATACAATATCCCTCCTGAGATGTGCATGACGAAACCTTACATGTTTTTGACATGCCTCATTCCAGGACCGTCGAGTCCAAAAGCAGGAATAGATGTTTATTTGCAACCTTTAATTGATGATTTGAAGAGGTTGTGGATTGGAGTATGGACTTATGATGTGTCTCACAGACAAAACTTTAATATGCGAGCTGCTTTGATGTGGACAATTAATGACTTTCCTGGATATGGCATGTTGTCTGGTTGGGGTACGCATGGAAAAATGGGATGTCCATATTGCATGGGACACACAAAAGCGTTTACTTTGCAAATGGGTGGTAAAAGTTCGTGGTTTGACTGTCACCGTAGATTCTTACCTATGAACCATGTTTTTAGAAAAAATAAGAATGCTTTTAGAAAAGGAATAAAAGTAACAGATCTTCCTCCCCCTCGTCTGTCATCGACTGAAGTATGGAATAGTGTTAGTGACCTGCCAAAATTCACAGATAATGGTAAAACATGCAGAATTCCAGGATATGGGGATACTCACAATTGGACAAAAAGAAGTATTTTTTGGGACCTCCCATATTGGAAGGATAATTTGTTGCGACATAATCTTGATGTTATGCATATTGAGAAGAATTTTTTTGATAATGTATTTAACACAGTGATGGATGTCCAAGGCAAGACAAAAGATAATGAAAAGGCTAGAAAGGACTTAGAACTTTTGTGTAATCGAAAAGACTTGGAGTTAAAACCCCAACCAAATGGAAAATTATTAAAACCCAAGGCTTGTTACACTCTTACTCCCTAAGAAGCAAAAGCAGTATGTCGATGGTTAAATGAGTTGAGGATGCCCGATGGTTATTCTTCTAACTTAGGAAGATGTGCTGATGCAAAAACAGGAAAGCTGCATGGAATGAAAAGTCATGATTGTCATGTATTCATGGAACGATTGCTTCCAATTGCATTCAGTTCACTTCCTAAGCATGTTTTTAATCCACTAATTGAGATTAGTCAATTTTTTAAAGACATTTGTGCGTCAACTTTACGAGTGGATGACATCTTTAAGTTGGACCCAAATATTCCCATCATTCTCTGCAAGTTAGAGCAAATATTTCCCCCAGGTTTCTTTGATTCTATGGAGCATCTCCCTGTGCATCTTGCTTATGAAGCTTACCTTGGTGGACCTGTTCAATATAGATGGATGTATCTATTTGAACGATTCATGGGTGATTCAAAGCGATTTGTGAAAAATAAGGCGAGAGTTGAGGGATCAATATGTGCACATTATTTACATCGAGAAACTTCACATTTTTGCTCTCATTATTTCAATCATATGATGTTGACTCCGAGAATCATAAGTAATGAAGTTCACTTTAGTGAAAGAAGTCAATTCACCTTATCGGTTTTTGGCCGTCTCGGTCGTCCTTCTGGAAAGACAAGTGTGCATTGGTTGTCTGAAAAAGAAATTCAATCTGCTCAAGTTCATGTGTTGATTAACTGCGTTGAAGTTAAACCATATCTTGAGTAAGTATATTAAATTAAGTTTGTATTTCTTTTTGTTAAATATACTTGTTTAACATATATTTTTTCTTCTTCGAAATAGGGCATTTAATAATTATTATTTTCAAAGCATGGGTGAACAACCATCGACAGGTTACACACATGTCTATTTTCTAGCATGGTTCAAGCAACAATTATATTGCATTGTTGCACCAAGTCCTGAAATAATTCATTTGAGAAGTTTATCTGAAGGCCCTCATTAGCGTGCAAATGAATGGCACACATACTTTGTAAACGAATATAAATTCCACACTCAAACATGGACAGAAGGGAAGAAAACAATAAACAGTGGTGTAGTTGTAAAAGGAGTTACAGAGGGTGGTGAGGACGACTTTTATGGTGTTATCACACATATTTATGAGTTGGTATATAATTATATGGACTCGGAAAATAAATTTTTCCTATTTTATTGTGATTGGTATGATCCATCTTCCAGAGGAACTAAAATAGATAAAAAAAAATATAACACTGTTGAGATACGAATGGATCGAAAGTACAAAAAGTATGACCCTTTCATAATGGCACATAATGTTAGGCAAGTTTACTATGTTTCTTATCCTTCAATTAAACCAAGTAAACGAGGATGGTGTGTTGTAATCAAGTCCAACCCAATGGGTTATATTGAATCTGACGGTGTAATGGAAGATGATGTTGCATACCAAGATGATGAGATTTCACCAGTGAATGGGGTAATTGAAATTGAGGAGATTACAAGTTTGGGTGATACTGTGGTTGTGGGTCAACAAGTTGATGCAACCATCTTGTTATCAGCAAATCATGTGGAAGAAGAGGAAGAAGAGTCAGGAGACTCTGAAGACGTCAATATAGTATCTGATGAAGACAGTGACGATTATAATGATAAATAAATTAAATAATATGTATTATGTATTTATACTATTGTGTAATAATACTACTATGTAATATGTATTGTTATATATAATACTTTTGTGTAATTGCTTGAATTAATTTACTGTTGTCATTTTATGAAATATTTTAGTTTAAAAATGCCACCCCGAAGTGAGGAAAAGGGTAAGGGTAAGGCTCGCCACACAAGGTTCGTTGTAGAAGAGGTTCCAGATTCGTCTATGTTTATGGTCATGGAGGTACCAATTCTTATGATCATGGAGATACTAGTGCTCCTGATAGTTCTCATGAGGAGCGAAGGAGGGCACACATTTTGAGAAATGCAAAGCCGCAAATAATTAGGAAATACAAGGGCAGATATGTCATTCGTTGCGATGGAGGAAGGTATGTTTTATATATTTATTTTAATTTAAATTTGAGTTTTTTTTAATGTAAATAATAATTCAAGATTTTTTTGGTGAGCCTTATACCATCACACCAGGCAGTATCGTGTATAACAGAAGTTATTAAAGAAAAGTATAAAAAGTTTTGGCCGACATATGGAGCACTTCTCGAAACCGAAAAGGAAGATTGGTTTAGCTTATTTCAGGTATAAAAGTAACTATTATTTTAATTTCTTATATATTTAGTTTATTTCATGATTTAACATTATTTAATTTTTTAAAATTCATAAAACAATGTAGGAGAAATGTGTTTGGGACTTTACAGAGCAGCAACAAGTAAGAGAAAATTTTGATACAAAATGTGTTACCCGATTATCCGACACACTTAGACGTGTTCGAATTAAATGGGAAAGTAAAGGAACACGTCCCTGTTGGATAGGTGAAGATGTATTTAAGCAACTTATTGACCATTGAAATTCGGAAACATTTAAGCAAGTATCTGAAAAAGCAAAAAAAAACAGGGCATCTGAAGTTGGTGGCTGCAACTATGCAGCAGGAAGTATTAGTGTTGCTGAAATTGCACACAGGCTGGTAAATTTATTTATTTTACTTAAGTTTCCATTTAAAATTTAGATTAAAACAAACTATTTTTCACTTATATGTTTTATTTTAATAGCGTGATGAGTTGGGTAGAACTCTAATGCTTAATGAGATCCATCTAGAGACTCATATCAAGAAAAATGGGGAGTTTGCCGATAAACGCTCAAAGGAAACTCAAGCAAGTTTTGCTAAAATTTAGTCATTTTATTTCTTTCTTTTATAACATGTTATTTATTCATCTTATTTAAATTATTATAACATCTAACTTTTTTTTATAGGAGGAGTATGATCGAAGACTTGCACTTTCTTTATCTGAGCATCCTGAGTTACCTCCACCACCACAGGGATACCCTGTTGATCCTTGTCTAGGTTTTCAGACTTGGTATGATGCTGCTCGCGGGAAGAGGAAAAATGGAAGGGTGTATGGTGCTGGAGGGTATGCCAAAACAATTAAGCGGCGTGATAGGACTTTCAGGATGAGACTTGATGATGGAGAAGGATCATCTCGTCCACCTATATTGACCGCTGATATGCTTGAAACTGTGAGAAATTTGGCTCAGATCGAGGCAGCACGTGAGGCAGTAGCTAGACAGGCAGAGATGGAGGAAATAAGGAGAAGACAAGCTGAGATGGAGGAAGAATTGAGGAGGAAGACAGCGGAGTATGAGGAAGCAATGCGGATTGCAAATGAGCGCGCATGGAAATTTGAACAATTTATGGCATTGCATATGAATCAAGGTGTGGGAAGAAGAGATGAGGAAGATGAGGAGGATGATGAAGAAGTTGACTAAATGTGTCATGAATTATATATATTTTTATATTTTATTTTATTTTTGTCATGGATTTGGATATTTACTTTTATTACACTTTTAATTATAAATTATTATATTTTATAAAATATATATTTTTATTTATTATATAATTATATTAAAATATATTTTTTTTATTATATAATTATATTATTCTAATTATAATAATATAATTATAAAATGTAATAAAAGTTTATTATATAATTATATATATTTTATTATATAATTATATTATTCT